AGGATAGATGTGATGCACATCTGGACTTTCAAAGATGTGATTCTTAAGGCAATTCTGGAGCACAAGGGATGTAAATGAAATCCACACAGCCAAAACCTCCTGCTTCTCAAATGCAGTCGTTCTTAATCATGGTCCTCGAGTCACAGCACTGCACATTTTGGATGTCTCCATTATTTAAAAGCATAGTTTTCCCAAAAATGAAACCCCACTGACTTTCATGGTATATAGACAAAAATAGCCATACAATGTTTCAATGTGCTGGCAGAAATTCTTTGTGCTCTGCAGAGGAAAGAAAGCCATACAGGTTTGGAACGGCATGACGATGACAGAATTGTCATTTTTGGGTGAGCTATCCTTTTAACACACCTGATTTATATCATCAGCGCATTAGTACAGGCTCCAAGACCTACACTGGGTGTATCAAAGTCATCCAAAACATCAGAACTGCTATACTGCATTCACACAGATGGTAAAGCTTCAGCCTAATCCTATGAATTAACAAGTGCTGCTCTACTGTGTAACATGATCAATGGCAGGCGGGCTGTTAAAGCCACTCCACCAGCCTGAGATTCAGCACAGCAGACATGAAAGGAATGGAATGGTTCAGAGTCCTGTGTCTCATCAGCTGTTTGACAAGTCAAGATCATCCTGCTGTCTTTCTTTGAGTCTGTGGATAACTATGAGTGTAAAACAGCACGGCGGCAGATGCACAGCGACAAAGAGATGAGAGCCAAAATACAACACGACAATAGGCTGATGATACACAGGGCAACTTTTTTGAGCAATGTTGCATGGGCACTTTCCCATTGAGAATGGGTAACAAATTTCTATCTGGATATTTTAGATCGGTTGTGGGCCCTGTGTCTCACCTGGTTGCCCGTTGACAGCAATATTTCCCAAAGTTGCCCTGTTTATCATCAGCCTAAGATCTCGGCACTCTGTACCTTATTAACAGTGTCTAAAATCTCCAGCTCAATCGCCTCCTTGTCCACAATTTTCTGACATCTGTAGGTGACCTCTAAGAGACACAAAAAGTATATGGCATGTCATATGATGCAGATTACTTGACTACAATGCATTTGCACAAATGTTTAGAGCATGAAAACAGCTTTACAGCAGTTTTGTTTGTATTTCATTTGTGTTACCCCTTTTATGTTCATACTCTCCAATGAAACGTCTGGTGATAAATCTGACACACAGAGCTGGAGTTCAAAGGAGAAAAACAGACAAGTTAGAGTCATCGAGACCAAACAATAGTCATTACACCTCCCAGAAAACACAGCAGTGTTACCTGTCTTCCCACAGTTATCTCTTCCCAGCACCACGAGCTTCGCCCTCAACATCTTCCGTACAGATTCTGACATGATCACTGTGGATAATATTATATCTGAATATAATAATAACACTCTTAGAGGTAGGCCAAATAAAAGACCGCAGCTACTGTTTGTAACAGGTGCTTTTTCTCGGGTTACGCTTGACTGCACTTCCGCTACGATAAATTTGATAGATAAATGCGGCAGTGCAGTGATGCAACTCTGAGCATAATACAAAGTTAAAATACAAGGCACTGTGTTAAAAAACGAAACAAAGTTCCCCAGAAATACTTACTTTGCTCCCCAAAGTTGTTAAAAGTGCGAACAGTGCTTGAGTCTATATCATTGTGTTCCAGTGGAGACTCGTGTGGAGGTCATATGCTGCAGACTCTGCTGCTCCTGCGCTCTCCGTCTGTCTGCTTTTAGTAATGACATTAGAAATAGCGCGCGCGCACACACACACACACACACACACACACA